AAAAGTACATTATGGTCATTTTTTTCTCTTGTTGTTTGTTTTAGTCTTTCATTGATTCTTTAATTTCAACAACATTCAGGGAAAAATTCCAGAGAAAAAAAATGTTTGTTTGTTTTGTTTGATAATCTCAATCAAGATTATTGCCTGTTTAAAAAACAACAACAACATAATATACATTCATTTAGTTAAGAAGAGACGATATATGAAAACCAATGGGGGAGAAATTACAGAATTATATAGTAGAATTTAGTATTATAAGGACATACAGATAGAGCGTCTGAAACAAATATTTACATAAAATTCAATTAAAACGAAAGCCAAGATTGTAAAAGGAAATAATAATACTAATAAAATGATGATAATAATACTTAATGCCGACAAGATAAGAGAGAAAAAAATGAATGTTTGAAATGAAACAAAATGGAAAAGCAGAAAAAATATTACATAATAACAATATATAAACATGTCAAAACATGTATTGAACATTTTTGTTTTTTGTTTTGTTTTTGTATAATAATGATAATAAAATACTAGAAAAAAAGCTGATTTTCTTTTAAGATTCACATTGGACATTTTCAAATATGTTATTTGAATTTGTCGTTTTGTTTTGTCTTTCTCTCTAATTTTCAAAAAAAAAAATTATCAATGATTCCCCACACACATAGATTGTTTTGTTTGATAATCAAACAAAAAATTGTGATCCAAATGGTTCTTTTGCGAATTTTTCAACACAAACACGCACACACACAGAGATAGTGAGAGAAAGAAGAAAAAACAAAACAAAACACCAAAAAATGAAACGACTAAATTGTTTATCTTTTGGCCAATAAATACCCAACCAACCAAACGAAACGAAGAAATCCAGAAGCCCAAAATCAAATCAAAAACGCTATTATCATTTAATTTTGCACTTTTCTTTACACTTTTCATTTTTGATCGTTTGTTTAGTTGATTTAATTTTATTTTTTCCTATTTTTTTTTCGTTTATCAGATTTGATTTTAATTTATAATTCAAACAAACATTGAAGAAAAGTCAATAAAGCTTTATTGCAGAAAATGGTGCACCAAGAGAAAAATGTCAATGAAGATGATGATGAGAGAGAATATATAATTGACATAAACGCAAACAAACGAACACACACACACACAGACACGCAACCAGAATATTTACTCCAAAATCAATGAAAGTATTTTGCGGCAAACAAAATGGGCAACGAAAGAAAGAACAAAAAATATGACCGTAAAAATTTTAAAGTCAAAAACTAAAATGGTGAAAATTTTCGAGTTTTTTCGATCAGAATTTTTTTTTTGTTTCACTGGCTATGTAAATCCAATGGCTGAATGACACCCTGGTATATAGACATGTGAATTTTCTCTCATTCTCTCTCAACTACAATTAGTCACTATAGTGAACGAACGAAAGAAAAGAGACAAAAGTTTCGATCAATTTAGACAAAATTCGTGTGTGTGTGTTGTGTTGTGTGAACGAATGTGCCGAAAACAAAACAAAAACAAAACAAAAAAAAGCTAATTGAAAATTCCATACAGAATTCAGGACACACACAATGAATGAATGAATAAATAAATGAAACAAACAAACAAAAAAGTGGAAAAAGGGAGATAAATTCTCCATACAAACACACACACACACATCAATTAGGTGAAAAACAAAACGAAAAAACAAAAATATTCAATTTCAAATTCATTAAATTAAATCATTGCAAATTCTTGTTTTTTTTGTTTTCAACAAATCCAGATTTTTCAACAACAACAACAACAAAATCTAGATTCAAGTTTTGTTGTTTTGTTTTTTGCTTTTGATTCTGTGTTACACCATTCGTTGTTGTATGGATAATTATTTAGGCAGAAAAACAATCATTTAACCAATTTGTTGTTTCGATGGAAAATACCATGACAATAACTAAACGAAATGAAATAATGAGTTTAAATGTTTCAACACCGAGTGTGAAACTCCCAGTATTAGATTCCCTGTTTGATGCAAATGGATTGAATCCGGAAAAAAAAATTTTGAAACCGAAAATTTCGTTGAATGAAAAAGCAATGAATTCAGAAGCAGCCAGCAGATTGTCAATTGATGATGACGATGATCGACAGAATTATTATTATTATTATTCATCATTCACAACATCGATCTATTTCATTTCATTTCATTCATTGGTTGACATCGAAATTTTCTTCATCTTCAAACCCTTGCTAATGTAAAAGAGAGAGATGATTGAACACTTTTTCTTTCTTTTTTTATTTGGCAATCAAAATGAATCGAATCGAATTGAAATGATATCGACACACACATACAGAAGACTGCTGCTGAATGAAAACCAAATTGCGTGGGGGGAGAAAGAGTGAAAAAGTTTTGTTTTTTTGATTGAAAATGTATAGATCGAAATTGGCCGTAGAAGAAAACTTGAACCAAAAGAAAAAAAATATGTAGTTGATTGTGCAGTGAAGGGGGGGTGAAGGAAATAAGGATTCTGGAGAGAGAAAGAGATGAAACTTCACTTGTGAAGAATAAAAAATGAGAATGATGATCTCGTGGCCGTTCTCTCTTTCTGTGTTTGTGATGCGGATTGATGTCCCCAGATGATGGAAATGATGAGTTTTGAAAACGATATTGGAAACACTAAATAAGACAATAAACAAGCAACACACACACACACATTGGAAATGTTGAAGTTTTGTTTTCATTTGAAAACAAAAACGAAACAAAAAAAAAATAAGAAATTCATTTTGAATTCAAACCAAATACCGAATGGAAGAAAAATATTTGATAACAACAAATATTGCTGAAGCAAGAAGGAGAAAAGCATGAAAAAGAGCTTATACGGATTTTTTTTCATTTATTTTTTTCGTTTGGAAGCCGATCGAATAAGTGCGTGTGAGACAAAAGAACAAACGCGGATGATGAGAATAAGAATAATATTTTTTTTGTTTTTTGTTTTGTTGCAGATCTTATGAAGAATTTACCAAACCAAAAATTATTGATGATCGTCGTCGTTATTTAAAAGAATTTTCTACTGTATTTTCTGGGGTTTTAAATGATGTGAAAAAAGGAAAAAAAAGTAAACTTTATCCCAAAAATAGAATTTAAATTTTTTTGTTTATTTAGAATAAGAAGAATTTGTTCAAAGATAAATTCAAAGTCTCTTCTTTTGTTTCGTTTAAAGATTATTATCATCAAATATCGCTAAAGGCCTTTTATTCGCTTTTCATCATTATCATTATCATCAAAATTTTTGAAACAAAACAAAAAAGAAAATTCGCTTCGACATTTTCGGGAAAATTCCTGCCGAAAACACTAGAGTGCGCTACATTCGATTCCAGTTTTGTAAATGGGGAGAATAATGTAGAAAATTTGAAAAATAACCCCCATCACCACCGAAAAAAGAAGTAATATTAATGGTTTGAAATGTATACAATTGAATGTATGTAACAATGTCATTAACATTAATCATAATTACATAGAATATATACAGAGAGAATTTGAATAGACAAAAAAGAAAGAAAAAATTTTCTACACCAAAAATGTTGTGAAAATTCATTAAAAAAATATGCAAGGTATGCATGGAAATTGATTATTATGGTATGAAACAGACGATTACCAGATATAAATTTATAATCTTAAAACAGAAAAAATTCATAAAAGTATCTGCATCTGCATAAGACACAAACATCAATTAATAATAACAGAAGTTGATAAGAAACTTTTTTTTCACCAGGTAAATGTGTGTACAGGTTTTTCCTTGATCTATTTTATGTTTTCCCTTTTTCGACTTGAAAAGTTTTTATTTTATTTTTTTCAATTTTTCAGGGCTTAGATTTGTTTCATTCTGGGTACATTAGAACTTAACACGGCTGCTACCGTCATTCAACGAATGCTGATCTAATGTTTCAACAACAAACCAGGACAGCTGCTACATTTGCGATCACAACAACAACGATAGATAAAAAGCATTTAGATGTCCATTATCATCAGCAAACACAATCACCACAACGATAATAATCAAAAATCATCTTAGGTTTTTTTTTTGTTTTTTGCAATCATTTCCATTACCTAACGTTTATAACAAATGAAAAAGTAAAAAAAGTGACAAATAATAATGCTAATACAGTGCTGCTTCAAACACGATTAAAGTGATGACAAACTGAAACTGAAACTGAAACTGAAACAAAATTTCCACTTTTTATCAATCTATTTCTAATTATGTTCATTGCAGCATTGTATTCTGATTCTGAAATTATTCAGAATCATCATCATTTGTAAATAAATAATATTGAAAATGGAAAAGTTATAATGAATCACAGTAATCAAGTGATGATCAATGATTCGATATCTGTGTATAAGATAAGAACAAAGAAAGTTTTTTTCTTTTTTCTTGTTTTGTTTTGCTGTTTTCAACCAGAAAGAAAGCCTGGTCTTTTTTTGTTTTGTTTTGTAATCATCCAAAAAATTTCGAAATGAAAATCTGAATATCCAAGGATCAATGTTTATCAGGATATGATCGGAAAACAAACATACAGAATGCAAACGATCGAAGCGTAAAAAAGTCATGATGATAATAATCAAATGAAGAAGCAAAGTTTTCTTTTTCTTTTATCCAAATGGAACATATAGTTTGATCGAATAGGGCCAAAACCATCAAACCAAGAAGATAGCCATTGAAAAAAAGTCGATTCTATGGACAGAAAACAAATGCAGATGATGAAAATAATGAATATAACATTCATAAGTAGAAACAACGAATCAGTGAATATGATCCATATATACACTGAAATAGAGAAAAAA